TGTCCCATGATTTGGGGAACTAGGATCCTTTCAGAGCACCCTAAATCCAGGGAATTATGGCACCCCACTCTTGCCATAATTCCCTGGATTTAGGGTGCTCTGAAAGGATCCTAGTTCCCCAAATCATGGGGACATTGTGGGGACAAGGGATTGGGATCTTCCAAAGCTGACCCCATTCCCAGCTGGATTTTCCAGGGGTTATCCCATGATTTGTTTGGCTTTCGGATCAAACCTCTAAATCCAGGGAATTTGGGGTTTAATTCCATTTATAGCCATCTCTGCTGCACCCCAATTCCAGTCTTAGCTTTGCTTTTCCCTAAATCCCGACCCAGAACCCGGATCAGGAACTCCAAGGTCGATCCCAGCCAGGCACCTTGGGGACACTGTGGCGTTTTTGGGGTCACTTTGGGGACTTTGCCCCGTAAGTGCCCGGGGCAGGGCGGGGTGCTGGGGTCAGGCACCTTTTCCCGCTGGGATTATCCCGATTATCCCGGGTTAATGATTCCCAGGAATCCCAGCACCCACCGGGAGACGGGTCCGACTGGATCGACCGCATTGCAGCCGCATTTATGGGGCCGCAGGACCTTTGGGGCCACGGGGACTTTATGGGGCTGCGGGGAACTTTGGGGCCATGGGGACTTTATAGAGGTTTTTGGGGTCTCAGGACTTTATGGGGCCGCAGGGACCTTTTGGGGCCTTGGGAGTTTATGGGGCCATAGGATTTTGTCCTGGTGCAACGTGGGGCTCCCAGCACAACACCAGGCTTCCAGCTTGATGCTGGGATCCCAGCTAGATCCTGGAATCCCAGTTCCAGTGCCAGGCTCCCAGTTTGACCCAGAATCTCAGTGATCCCATTTTGATCCCAGATTCCCAGTTCCGTGCTGGGATCCCGGTGCCACGTGGGGCTCCTGCCAGGCCCCCGCCTGGATCCCGGGATCTCAGTTTGATTTGGAATCCCAGTGCCAGGCTCCCAGTCTGATCCCAGTTCCCCAGTCCCACCCCTTTTTCTCAGTTTGATCCTGGTTTCCCAGTCTGATCCCGGTTTCCTGGCCCCATCCCAGTTTCCCAGTTTGATCCCGATTTCCCATTCCCATCCCGGTTTCCCAGCGCTCCCGGTGCCGGCCGAACCCCGGGCGTGCCCGAACC